AGATACATATCCCCTCCCCCCCGCCCCCCCCCACTGTGGTTTAGAAGAGCTGTGAAGACCTGGCTCTTTGCCCAGGCTTTGGCAAAGGAGAGTGTGACCCCTCGCTTCATTGCACTTGCCATCTTTTACTTTTATTTTTTATTGATTTTATTGTAATTTCTTTGTTTCATTGTTGTGAGCTGCCCAGAGTCATTCAGAGTTGGGCAGCATACAAGTTTAATAAATTATTGTTGGTCGTCTACTCAGCCAGATGTTTAGACTGGATTTAGCATTTTTATCCACCTATCGAGTCCTTCCCAAGGACCTGGGATAGGCAGCTGTTGTTTGATGGTGTTAAAGGGATCGTTGCAGGATGGAAGCTGTTCCAAGTACAGCTGCCTTTGGCAATCGACTGATGGTGATTTTGTCCATGCTGATGGTTTTCAAGTGGTACTCCAGAAGTTTTGGTATTGCACCCATTCAAAGAATTTTAAAAATGGATGTACAATTGAATCCAGAGGTTTTTCTTTTAGGTATAGTGGATAAACAGATTGAAAGAAAACAAGGAACTTTATTCCTTTATATGATAACAGCAGTGAGACTCTTATATGTGCAAGAATGGAGGGACCCCCAAATACCTACAACTGAAGAATGGATGGTGAAGTTGATAGAGTTGGCGGAGATGGCAAAATTGACTTTTTTGATTAAAGAAAAGACTTTGTCTAGCTTTGTTTCTACTTGGAAATTGCTTTTGGACTTTTTGGTTGAAACTGAAAGAAATGAAACTTTAATTTTGGGATTTGATGATTAATACTGTTTATACTAATACTGTTAATACTAATACATAATATTTCTCTAATACTAATATTACTAAGTAATACTACTCTATAATTTAAATAGGTGAGTGTGTTATATATTTGTATGTGTACCAAAAAAGTTGGAAGCTTTTTTCTTCTTTTTGTATTTTTTCTTTTCTGCACCTTAAAATTTGTTCTTTTTCTGATTTTTATTTTTTCAATCTTTTATTTTTTCTGTTTCCTTATATTTTACCTTTTGCTGAAAATTAATAAAGTTTATAAAAGGGATTGCACCCAAGATGCCTATTACTAGTCGTACTATCTTTGCTTTCTTTTGCCACAGTTGTTCTATTTCTATTTTGCAGGTCTTTGTATTTTGTGATTTTCTCCAGTTCTTTCTCTTCTATTCTGCTGTCTCCAGGTTGTTGGTGTTATTTTATAGTGCTCTTATGACTGGAGTCAGGGGCTTAAATGTCCTACCTCTGTTACTTTAAAATGTTTTGTTGATTGTAATTCTAATTTTTGTTGTTGCTCTCATTTTAGAGGTATAGTGTATACAGCTCTGGAAATGTTTTTACATCAAAAGGATATGAAATTATTAAGCAAATTGTACCCTAGATTGTACTAATTATAATTGCAATTGTCTAATTTTCTTTGAAGACCAAAATATAGTTAATATGGCTTTGGTTCAATACCTGTTTGTTAAAAACACAAATATTGCCCTTGGCTGGCATTTGGAATCAATCAATCAACGTATCAATAAGCATTAATTTTTCTGACCCTAACCCTGACTGAAAAATTACTGTTTAATACTGGAAGGAAAAATGTGCACCTGAATTGCAGGAGTGGATTATTTATGTGGTTTGTGGGTCAGCACTGATTTTCTCCCCTCCCTTTTTTTTTATAAAGGAGCAAGGAAGACTTTTAAGCAATATGTTAAAATCTTTTAGAGTTCTGTTTATAATTTTATGATGATGATTAGTGTGATATTTACAATTCTATTGAATGTATGTATAATTTTGACATAAAATATTTTTAAAAGACCAATATATGCTTTTAAAAATTATTAATAAATAAATTCCATCCAATGGTTAAAGGGGCTTTGTGTCTTTGACATCAGGCTCAGTTAATCCATTTCTATAGTTAACTTCATTCAGAGGTCCTCAGCCTGACAGAAATAGCAAGTGGGATTGATTCTGAATAGACTAAGTCAGTGTTTTTCAACCTTGGCAACTGTAAGGCATGTGGACTTCAACACCCAGAATTCCCCAGCCAGTTTGCTGGCTGGGG